AGATTAAATCAATTATGTAGTTGTGGTGCCATGGTGATAGTTCAGTTGTAGAACATGCTGAACACCCAGAACAGTCCCTAGTGCCCCTTTGTGGTCACTCCCCCTCAGAGTCCTAGTACAGGCATCACTGCCCTGTCTCTCTGGTTTTCCTTTTTTCTTTTTCTTTTTTTTTTTTGTTTTTGCTACAGGGTGTGTGCGCTCACCAGAGAGACAGACAGAAAGTGAGAAATCACCCCCCGGGGGGGGATGGCCATGCCGTAATCCCTTCTCCATTCTCCTCTTGGGATCTTGGGCACGCACAGACACGCACCCTGCATGACTTTAAGCCACCGGGTCCAGGACCCAAACCATGGTCAACTGTATGGGAGTTCAGCAACATAGCCATTACGCCAACTGCTGGTCCCTCTCTGGTTTTCCTTTTCCAAAAAATCCCTATAAATGGAATCATGACTATGGAGTCTTCTCTTGGCCTTTTTACGTAGACGGTCATGTTGTCTTTGAACAATTACACTTTTCTTTCTTTCTTTTCAATCCTTTCCCCCTGGAATTTTTCTTTCTCTATGTGTTTTGTGGTTGCCCTTAAATGTTAACATATATACTCACCCAAAATCTGAAGTTAATCGATGGCACAGAATAAGACCTTAAAAAGCTCTAGTTTGGGCCAGCAAGTGATGTGGTGGTTAAGGCGCTGAACTCCCACGTAGCTAACTGGATGATTCGAGTCGCGGACACAGCAGCTTGAAAATCATGCTAGGTGTATGTGCGTGGGTGCCCACCATCCCAAGAGAAGACTGGAGGAGAAGGGATTGTGGCGAGGCCATCCCCCCTGGGGGGGATTTCTCACTTTCCCCTCTCTTCCTCTCTCTGTCTCTAGCAAGTGCACACACTACAACAACCAAAATAAAGAAAGAAAGCTCTAGTTCTACCCTCCCTACTTCACATGTTCTATCTGACCCATACCGTGGATATTTTTCAGTCATCTGTGCGAGCTTAGACTTACCCATGTGCTTACGAGTTCCTTGTTCATCACTGCTTCTGGGCCCAACTCCAGCCTCAGCCCAGTTGCTGTCTTCCAACAGTGTTTCCTTCCAGAAGTTCATATCTGGATGTGCCTTTATTTTGTGCTCAATCTTTTTTTTTTTTTTTTATAGACCACAGATTAGTTTATTTTTAACACCCATAA